ACCCAGAGAGTGCTTTAAGCACTATGGGAGGTATATAAGCAGGACGCTTTGGTTTTGCTTTGCTTTACATAATCTCAAGACGAATACATGTGGAGTTAGTTCTTTGAAAAGTATATTATAATTTCCTGGTTGCTTGACACATCTTTCCAGAAATTGTAGATTCATGGCAGACATAAGCTCAATAAGCTTAACAAAAACAACAACAAGCAGAAGATTCTAGTAATCTGTCCTCCTCTCCTCCTGTTCCCCCCTTCCAGGTCTTCCTTTACTCAGCTTTTGTTGCCAAAGTAAAGGGGCTACTAAGGGTAGTACATAATGAAGCTCCCAAGCTAACCACCTTAGTTAGCAATGGTTGACAGGGGGAAGGGCTTTTCCCAAAACAGTCTCTGGCTGCTTCACAGATTTAAACCCATAAGTAGTTTATGGTTCTATTGTCCAGAGTTTTATTCCAACAATAGAAGCAAAGTTGTTTTTCTCCCCCTTCTTTCTGTTTCTCCCAGCCAGGCGTCAGATGAAGGGGGGGAATGCTGCTGGTCTGGCCAGATATAGGTCTAGTCATTTTCTCTGAAAGATTGAACCCACTCTCTTCATTGTTTCTATAGGTCTAGTCATTTTCTCTGAAAGATTGCACCCACTCTTTTCATTGTTTCGGTCCTTAAGAGTTCCATATGTAAAGCAAGCCATGTACTTCAAGCTCTGGTCAAGATTATTTCCAAAATCCTTCTATACTTTTCCGCTCTCTGCCCTGGGGCATTCACAGCTTTGTGCCAAGATGGTGTCTACTCAACTTCTGCTTCCAGATGCAACTTCAAAGAGAGGCCAATCCAGGGATCTCCCAGCCCCCCTCCCTTCTCGGTCAGATTCTGTTTCTTCAGACTTTCACTTCTCCTAGTAAAAGCCCTTTCATCCCCAAGTTTGGGCGAGGTCAAAATTGAGTGGTCTCGGTCAGTTTCAGGAGCCCTTGCTGTGCCACAGGATCTTGCTGTGATGAAGCCCCGCCCTAATTCCTTTTCCTTCCAACATACATGGTTGGCCTTTTGAAATGTTTATAAAAATGTATGAAATATGTTGGCCAGAAACTGTGCTGAAGCCAAAAAACAAGAAATGGAAATACTGTATAGCATGCATGTGCATCGCTCTTTACAACTCTCCAAACATTTGTCTCTGTACCCAGCCTAGATTTATACAACTTAGAGGAACGGTGTCCTTTCTCTGCTAGTAAACCCCGTCAATCTGGTTTTGTGGTTTACTGAAGAAACATGTGTGCAAAAAAGTTTTAAGAATCTGACAGGAAATGGTGCTTAATCCTTGCAAGCCAGATTCTTCTTACTTCCTCCTCCACCCCCTTAAATGCCCAGGTTGTTTTCCACTGTTCTGTTTCAACAGTTGTCTTGGAAATGAACTCCCTTCAATACAGCTTTTCATAATATGATGAAAATGTGAATTATCTCAGAGAACATATCCTTATGCACCCTCAATGGGTACTGTTTACTTACAGGGACAGTCCATCACAGAGGCTCCACATCACCATTGAGGATAATATGACATGTATTGATTTTAGGTGATTTTCTCCCTCAAGTACCAAAATAATTTGGCTAGCCTTAGACACTAAGCTCCTTGAATTGGGAAGTGAGTGCCACATGCTGTTCGTCCTCAACAAAACAGACTGAATACTGTTATTTACATTGCAACAGTTTCCCATTAGATAAGCAGCCAGTGCTTGTATTTCTTACCAAATCATACACTCTATATTTTTGTGTTGTCTCTTACGGGTTCCAAGAGAATGCCTATAAACATGTAAATTATGTTTAATTTAAAAAAATGTGGGCTCCTTCATTCACTAATGATGGAACATAATGTAAGAGTACTTTCAACTACCACACTTTGAACAACTAATATATTTCTATGTATATGCATAAACTCAAGACCTTTGTGTGCAGTGCAAATGACAGAAACCCTCTGAAAAATAACTTGGCAGGAAACTACAGACATCCTGACTCTCTTTCTAAGTGACACTACTAGATATGTATACCTAAAAGCATAGTGGCTGAAATCCTGTGCTTTGTCAACACAGGCAAGAGGCTAATGATGTACCATTCACTTGCTTCCACCGGGCAATCAAAGATTCTTGAGGGTACACCTATGGACAGGTTCATGTGCTTGAGAATCTCAGCAGAGACTCCTTAATTGTCAGCTCTCAAAGCAAGTAAATGTTACACCGTTTGCTTTCTGCCTGCTAAGCAAAGCAACAGGATTTCAGCCAATGTATTAATTGGCACACAGAAGTATGTTTTCAGTTAGAGGATACAAACATGTTAGGATGGGCATGCATTATTTGCTTACCTTTACATTTGGTGGATTTGAACGTAAAGAATGTGGAAGGTCCATGGAAGTTAGGAGTGGAGATAAAGGAATTATGCCTGATTCATCATTTAAAACAGAATCTGAAAATGGCAAAATATAATACAATAAGGTTTGAAGAACATTATTTATGCAACTCCGAGAACTCCACAAGAAAAAGATTGTTCTGAACATTTATGCCCAGTGAAGAACAGTTGGTTTTTAATCCTATTTCATTTTAAACTTGATGTTTCAAGGAAAGAGAAAGCCTCTAATGATTTGGCCTAATCCTCTAATGATTTGTTTACTTGAAGTAACTCCCACAAGTGAAACAGAAAATTCCCCAAAGAAAGTGGACATAAGAATATAACATATTTCTCTTATTTTCTGGGACCATCAAGATTCCATGAACTCTCATAACTCTGATAGGTTTACAAGTACAGTAAGTAGATTAAGCAGAAAACTTTTAGAAACTAACTTTAGGGAACCAGCATGGGAGAGTGGCTAGAATACTTGGAGTAAAAAAAATCCCTTTTGACTATGAAGCACATTGGGTCATTTTTGGCCAATCTCTTAACATAAACTGTATCTCTGAGTTGTTGTGAGCAGAAATGGGCACGAAGCACAAACCATCCAAACTTTTTAAAAAAACAACACTCCATGAGTTGTGCTCTTTTAAAAATAAAACTAACCTCCTATCCTCTTTCCACTGCCCCCCCTTCCCACTGCCCCCGTCACCTACCTACCTGGTCTGATAGGTGGATGCATGTGCAGAGACAGAAAGGAAGCTAGACTGCTGTCTCTCAAGACAGCAACTGAGGTGGAAGAGGAGGCAGCAGCAGGACCAGTTAGAGAAGCAACCGGGGCAGTAGGAAGGGGGTGAGGGGCAGCGGGAAGGAAGTGGGGATAAAACAAACGAGGAAGTTTGTTAATATCGCTTTAGATGTTTGTTGTTGGATCAGGTTGGGTTCGCTGGATCTGGCGAACCTGAACCAATGAACCAGCAATTTTTAACCAACTTCCTGGTTCATATTCAGATTTGTGCCCATCTCTAGCAGTGATATTAAAAGGGGGGGGGGAAGGGTCATGTACATCCCCTTGACCTACCTGAAAGAAGGACAGGATATAAATGTAACAAATAAATGCACTTAGACCCTATAAACCAAGTTAAGGAAAGTTATCTTCAGTTTACTTTTAAAACTTGAATATTAAGTATCCGAGTTAAAAACAGTGAATACCATCCATTATGAAAGGCCCATGAATTTCTGCAGTAAACAAAGCAAGGCCCTGATTCTCCTCTGAGCTGAGTGAAACATACATATTTATCTGAGAGGAACCTGTAAGTGTGTTAATCACAGTTAATAGCCCCTACATTACTATTTACTAAAATAATTTTTTTTGCTTAAATGAGAAAAATAGCTCTGACAGGGGGATTAGATGCTATTAAAGAGCTCCTCTACCTCTAACAGTTGTAGATAAGACTTAAGCTGATATATTTTTTCAGTTTCCCAGCTATAAGGGATGAGAAGCAGCATCTGCTGAATTGCTCTTTTAAGAATTTATTACCTTGCCCCTGTATTGCAACTGATAGCTCTATATGCCTTACATTCACAGGAGGATATAAAATTCATAGGTTTCATTTAATCCAAATACATCAAGAAGGGACTAAATGTCAAGAGCTTGCTAACGTAAAACATTTAGAAACTGTACATTTAGTATGCCTATTACACATGTGGTTTAATGCTGGCCACTTCCCTTATGAGAACCACTTCCTTTATGAGTCCACCGAAGTTTAAGAGCTTAAAGAAAGTTCTAAATGCTGCCTCTACCTGAATTTTGTGACACCGGTGCTTCTAATCCATTTTCCAGGTCCTTATTTTTATTCCCAGTTGGATGCAGTGATGCATTCTTCTGTTGAGGGGTCCAGACTGAATCATGAGGGGGTGAGACTGACTTCCCTGTAGAAAACACACAAAGAGGATCTATAATATATAATGCACCGTCTCTCATACATACACAATACACCGTCATACTGGTGAGGTATTCTGCTATTTATCAGGTTTTGGAAAATGAAGTAGGTATGACTATCTGCTCAAACAGGCCAAGATTTTCATTTATTGACCTAAGTTCATCAAAACATGGGGAAACTTTTGAAAAAAACACAACCTACAAACAGTATTCAGAGCCACCACAAAAATACAACAAATACAGCAAAGGACAAAAGGGACCCCCCTCACCACTGCAGGACTATACCGGATACCTTGCAGTTGTGGCCAGGTATACAGTGGGATCTTGACTTGAGAACTTAATCCGTATTGGAAGGCGGTTCTCAAGTCAAAAAGTTCTCAGGTCAAATCTGCATTTCCCACAGGAATGCATTGAGAACCATTTGATCCGTATCTGCTCTTTTCCGTCCATAGAAACTAATGGGAAGCTGCTATTCCACCTTTGACCACTAGAGGGAGATATTTTGTTTCTTTTTTTCTTAGGTCAAGAAAGGTTCAGGGAAGGCAGGGAAAATACAGTCCAGGCAGTACAGTACCAGGCAGTCCGAAGACTGTCTCCCAATCCACTCTCTAAACGCTGGGAGGAGTGAGGAAGCAGCCAGGCACCCTTCGTTCTTAAGTCAAGACCCCACTGTATATTGGAACCATAAAACGCAGCATTCACATCAGAATCAAAGAACATGAGAGACACTGCAGACTAAAATAACCGGAAAAATCAGCAGTAGCTGAACATGCTCTAAAACAAGCGGACATGAAATTCTATTTCAAAATACTGTACTGAAGTACTGGACAACACCAGCAAGCATTATGTTAGACTGCACAGGGAAGCCATGGAAATCCATAAACACCAGCTTCAACAAAAAAGAGGAAAGTCTAAAACTTAATAAGGCCTGGCTTCCAGCACTGGAAAATACAGCCTGCAAAAGGTCAACAAACTCTAACCAGCCACAAGGACCAAGGATCATTGTACAAAAAAGACCAGCTAAAGACACCCATCAATCACAGTGACAGATAATCTCTCCCTCTTATGACAACAATACATCCACAACAAAAACACGCTGATCACCATCATCATCCTATCTCCTGAATAGAACAAAAACTGTTCCCACAGCTATAAATACTCAACTATCCAACAAACAGCAACAGAGCATGGAAAGAGTTCCTACTCCAGTCTTCTGAAGATGCCAGCCACAGAGACTGGCGAAACGTCAGGAAGAACAACCTTCAGAACACGGCCAAAGAGCCCGAAAAACCCACAACCACCATTCATCAAAACTCTTTCAGTGATCCAGGCAAATGGAGAAGTTACTCCTTTTTTTCACTCCTTTGTTTCATCCATAATCCGTTTCATCTGTTGCTGGATGAAATGGGGTTCGCACCTCGGTCCAAGAGGCTGTGAACGCGTCCTTGAGAGAGGGAGTGGTCCCTACCACCTTGAAAGAGGCAGTAATTCAGCCAGTCCTAAAAAAGCCTAACCTGGACCCAGGGCTGGTGGTTAACCAGTGGCTAACCTCCCTTATTTGGGCAAAGTGTTGGAGCGGATTGTGGCCCGCCAACTCCAGGCGCTGCTGGATGAAACAGATTTTCTGAATCCATTTGAATCGGGTTTCAGGCCAGGTTTTGGTACAGAGACTGCCTTGGTCGCCCTGTATAATGACCTTTGCAGGGAGAGAGACAGGGGGAGTGTGACCCTGTTGATACTCCTGGACTTCTCAGTGGCTTTTGACACCATCGACCATGGTGTCCTTCTGGATAGGCTGGCTGGGTTGGGAGTTGGGGGCACTGTTTTACGGTGGTTCTGCTCCTTCCTAGCTGACCGTGTCCAGAGGGTGGTGCTGGGGGGGCAGTTGCCCTGTCCGATGGCGTTTATGTCATGGGGTTCCTCAGGGCTCAATACTGTCCCCCATGCTGTTTAGCATCTACATAGAACCCCTGGGAGAAGTTATCAGGTTTGGGCTGAGGAGTCAGCAATATGCTGACGATACTCAGCTCTACCTCTTGTTTTCCACCAATCCAGGTGAGACGGTTTCTGTGCTGAACTCGTGTCTGGACCTGATAATGGACTGGATGAGGGTTAATAAATTGAAACTCAATCCAGACAAGACGGAAGTGCTGTTAGTGGGTGCTTCACCAGACAGGCTGGAGGGCCATCTCCCTGCCCTGAATGGGGTTACACTCCCCCTAACGTACCGGGTCCGCAGCTTGGGGGTGTTCCTGGACCCCAGTCTAACTCTGGAAGCCCAGGTGGACTCAGTGGCCGGGGCGCCTTCCTTCAGCTGCGGAAATTATACCAGCTACGGCCCTACCTGGACAAGTGGAGTCTCGTGACAGTTACACACGTCTCGTATACATTACTGCAATGCGCTTTACGTGGGGCTGCCTTTTAAGACCTGAAGGACCACCTCCTTCCATATGAGCCTACCCGGCAGTTAAGATCTGGCCAGGGGGCCCTTTTGAAAGAGCCATCCCTCAAGGAGGTATGAGGGATGGCTTGTAGACAAAGGGCCTTCTCGGCAGTTGCCCCCAGACTATGGAACGCCCTCCCAACTGAAATTCGCCTGGCGCTGACACTGATGATATTTCGGCGCCAGGTCAAAACCTTCCTGTTCCAGAAGGCTTTTAA